TTGGCTATTTCCATCTCTGCATTCCAGGTTTTGCAATTCACACAAAACCCCTTCTGAACTAACCCAAGGAGACCCCTCAGACCCCTTAGACAATAAGTCATTCCCTCGCCCCTCATTCAAAATGCTAAAACAAGCCTTAACCCTGGCCCCAGCCCTTTCGATCCCAGACCTCTCACACCCCTTCCTTCTCCACATCACAGAGGAGCGAGGATGCGCTGCTGTGGTCCTGAACCAGGGGCCAAGTGCCCGGCCGGTCGCCTTCTTATCAAGGCAGCCAGACCTCACCGTTAGAGGGTGGCCGCCCTGTCTGAGGGCAGCAGTGGCTGCCACAGCCATGCTCCGAGAAGCCTTAAAAAGTCATCCACCACGTACCCATTACCCTTTATTCCCCCCATAACCTCCAACATCTGACCTTCTCTCACCTCCCACATCTACTCTCAGCTCCGAGGCTCCTACAACTCTATGCACTCTTCTCAGAAACACCTACAGTCACCATCACTTCAGGACCAAGTTTCAACCCTGCCTTTTCCCTGATTCCCAAACAGCCAACAACAGGGACACCCCCAACCTATAACCATAACTGTCTCCCCATAGGCCTATACTGTAACCTCATTCTACACAGGACCCAGCATATACCTGGTTCATAGATAGAAGCTCATATTAGGCCACTCATTCCTCACCAGCAAAAGCAGGATATGCAGCTGTCACCATAAACTCCTTAACTGAAGCTCAAACCCTGCCTCCACACACCAACCCCCAACAGGCCGAACTCCCTCTAACTCAAGCACTCACCCTAGCAAAAGGATACAAAGTTGACATGGACACAGACTCAAAATATGCCTTCCATATCTTCACAGGCACGCTGCAATCTGGGCAGAGAGAGGATTTCTCAGAACAAGAGGTTGTCTGTCATGAACTCCCATCTAGTAAAGGCCCTCATGAAGGCCACACTCCTACCTGCCCAAGCTGGAGTCATCCACTGTAAGGACCATCAAAAGCCATCAGATCCATAACACAGGGAAATTCCTTTGCAGACGAAACTGCCAAAGAGGTTTCTGCCTCCACAAAAACCCAACCTATTACCCCAAAGGCCAATATCTTACCTTAACAGGCATCACCCCCACCTACTCACCTGAAGAAATAGCTAAATACAAAACACGCCCCACAGCCAACAGGTGGTTTTTAGACCAACGCAAATTTCTCCTCCCTGCCTCCTAGACCCATCAGATCCTCTCCTCCCTCCACATGGTTCTACCCCCAATCTAATTCCTTAGATTCCCTCCTACTCAGGATAGAAGACTTCTTTTTCCAGAGAGGCCTCGCTGACTTCTCCCCAGACAAAATCCACTTGTTCACCTTTCTTGTCCTCTGCCTGGCCACTCCTCCTGCCTAAGCACCAAAGCTGTCCCCTGTAGCAGACACCTCTGCCCAGTATTAGCAGGCTACAGTGGGACAAACTTCTTGCCCCTCCATAATTTGGCTGTGTTACATTGGAAGTAGCAGAGCTTGGCTGAGTTCACTCCCAGTCAAGGTCAACTGACTCCAACTAAATTCCTCCCTTCTGAATTAACCATCTGTTCTCTTCTACAAAGATATGCTTGTGTCCTACCTGTTGATACTTGTTATCAGCAGGTGTCCAAGGCCTGCCAAGTTTCCCCCCTTCCCACACTTATAATGAATAAACACTGGACATCCTGGGAGTCCTTTGTTTTTGCTCCCCAGAGCAGCTTAGATCAGCCCAAGACTCAGTTTCTCTCAAGTCTCTGTCTCTGTGTTTCTTTTAATACCCACTTTCCCATCTCATGGACATTGTACTGGCTTACAGGAGGCCAGGCCATGGCAGAGGTCTCTGGCAACTCCCATTACCCTTTCCCTATAGTCCCACACACATAACCCGCCACCGCCCCACATGACTGTCACCCTGTTTTCCTACTCACTTACAAACCCCTAGTCCTTGCCTTTGCAGCAGACCTAGCCACTGTCACCCCAGGTGACTGGAACACCACAAAGAGATATCTCCTGGCTATTATTTTCCTCTTCCTGGGAGGGCTTATACTCATACCATTATGTATACTAAAGGCCAAACCATAACAACCCGCTACTTCATTCCACACTTATCCCCTCCTTTGGTTATGCATCTCTTCCGATTTGCTTCACACCCCTTGCTAACCAAAACCCCCCTCTACCAATCCTCCCCAACTACCTAAATGATAGGTTCATGAGCACCTATTTGCTACTTCAAAAGGCCATTCCCCAGCTAGCAGACAGATGCTGCCTCTGCATGTCAGCCTCCCCTCAAACACAGAAGCCGCACCAGTCCCATTAAAAACATGGTTCACAACTAATACCTCCTGTTTTCCTGACTTTTCAGCCGGCCCCACTTATGTTACCACGAAGGAATACTGACAAAAGCAACAATGGTGGTGTTCCCACTCAGGGGCACTTACTCTATCTCAGAATAACTTTCCTCCCTTCAAACCCATTGCCAGAGATGTTTCCATATGCTTCCAGGCCCTGATCTGTCTTGCTAGCACCTTGGAGCCAGGCCCCACAGTAGGACACCTTGGCCCAACACTCTATAACTTGACTCTGTCTATCCAAGTCCCCTATCACTGAGATGAATCAAATATAACACAAACCTTGGATCAGACTACTTATCTTTCAAACACTAAGCCACACAGCCCCCCCGCCCCCGCATGAAACTATGAAACCCACCCTATCCACAAAAGGTCTCCTAGACAATAACTTTTCTGCAAAGGAAAAAGACCAATCCCATCGAGGATGGCCCCTTACTGTTTGCCACCCTGGTTCCTGTTCTCTCTCCCACTCAAGTCTAGCCAGTGCTTAACATTTCCAGACCAAAAAACCACTCAGACTCCAACTAAACCCATTCGACTTCTGACTCTATTGGGAAAACAAAATAACAAATGCTTCTTACTGTCTCCTGTCCTCATATATCCCTCCTCTTGCCACCACAATCTTATCCTGTACCCTACACTACTGGCACAAACCCAAACCAGACCAACCCCTTAGCTTCAAATATGAGGTAAACAATACCTCGTGTCTTTTCTCCCCCATCAGCTGGTTGTGCAGCAACTCAACATAGTGATCCTTGCCAACTAACTAGGCAGACACCTGCACCCTAACCTACCTTAGCCCCAAGACAGACATAGCCTTAAGTAACAATGACCAGATTCCAACCACTAAGAACAGACATCACAGAGCAGCCCCCTTCTTAATCACATTTCTAATAGGATTAGGAATGTTCACAGAGATTGGCACAAGAGTTGCAGGACTCACAACCTCCCTGACTAAGCATGATTCTCTCCCAAGAAATAACAAAAGGCTTAAGATGCATCTCAGACGGCCTCATTACCCTTCAAGCTCAGGTTGATTCTCTAGCTCATGTAGCATTCCAAAACAGGAGAGGACTTGACCTCTTAGCTGCCAAAAAGGGAGGAATCTGTTCCTTCTTAGGAGAATGCTGTTTCTACATAAACCAATCAGGAATTATCCAAGAAGTGGTAAGAGACCTAAAAAAACAAGCCAACAGCCTAGAAAAACAAAATACACCCCTCTGAAGTCCACCCTGCCTTTTATTTTTAAATTTTTAAATTTTTTTGTTTTGGGGGGGTTTTTTAGTACCAGGGATCAAACTCAGGACCTTGCGCTTCCAAGGCAGGCACGGCACCACTGAGTTAAATCCCCAGCCCTACTCTGCCTTTCAAAACTTTTAACAAACTTTATTCAAGGCTAAATCTAGGCCATAACAACTAGACAGCTCTTGCTAACCACCCACTACACAGCCCTGCTACAAGACCCAATCTCTGGCCCCTGAAGAAAATTTTTAAAAATTTTTAACTAACGGAACCAATACCTCTCTCTGCCTTTCCCTGCCCCTTTTTCTCTAATAGGATGTCCACACAGCCCACTGGGCCATGTTTGAAGCAGCCATGAGAAACTACACCCAATCTCCCCTTCCTCTTCTCCCTCTTCCCTCTCCCCTTTTCTCTTTTCTTCTGTAAGAGAAAGACAGGATTGTCAGACCCCTGCCCAGGCAGAAGAGAAAAAGCCTCCCAGGCAGTACAGTTACACATCCTGCAAGGCGCAAAGGATAACAAGAAGCCAAGGCCCTGGATTCAAGACAAACAGCCTGGCCCACGCAGCAACGCCTGCAGGCCCAGAGAACCTTGGAGACCACCAGACTCCTCCACTCCAAGACAAAAATTTCCCCCTCCCCTACCCAAACTCCCCTACAAAGTTTCCCTTTCCCCAAGCCCCCAGAGTCAACGGCTTTGTTGCCCTTGACTCATCTGCATCCAGGTTGGAAATAAAACCTCACTTATTGCTTCATTTTTGCTTCCCCCAATGGTCTCAGTTGTGCTTCAGTTTTCCCTAACAGGAAGATATATTTAATAATAGTATACTGTATTATAAATTTCAAAATGGCTAAAAAAGTAATATTTAAATATCATCACTGTGAAAATGATAAGCATTCTCTGTGATGGATATATTAAATATCTACATTTAGTTTTGCTACATTGTGTTCAAAATCCCCAACATTATGCTAAATATATATTTGTCAATATGCAATAAAGATTCTGTTTGTTTTTTGAGACAGGATCTCACTATGTAGTCTAGGCTGGCTTTGAACTCTCAGTGATTATCCTTTCTCAGCCTCCCAAGTACTAGACTTTCTCACTGTGGTTTTAATTTGCATTTCTATAAAGACATTAAACTTTTTTAGTGAAATACTTGAAAAAGTAAAATAAAATCTACTTGTCATGATCATGTAATAAATGAATGATGTAATGGAATAGTAAAATAATATCATATTTTAGATTGCCCAGTAGTCTACTTTTAAACTGATTTCATCTGGGGTGGGAATTTAGCTCAGTGGTGCCGTCGCCTGCCTCACAAGGACAAGAACCCAAGTTCGATCCCCAGTACCAAAAAAAATCTAGTTTCATCCAATTAATATTCATAATTTTCATGCTTGTCATTAAGAAGTAGCTATTTACACATTGATCTTTCAAGAACTCTTCCATAAAAATGAGTCACAAACATGATTCATGTCCTTCAGGGAAGCAGAAAGCCTCTGCTGTTCCTGTGTTGAGCGTCTTTTCTCTTGGTTCGATGTGTTATCTTCCTATTAAAGAAGAAAGGTGATTAAACAATAAACTGCTTAGCCAAGCAAACAAAAAATCTCTGTGAGTTCAGTCGACTGTCCAGGGCTTAGGGAAAATCTTAGTAAATTCTGTAATTAGCACATCCAGGCTGTGCAATAGAAACAGGTCCCTGGTAAAGTCATGGTGACAGGAAGTGGAGAGCCAGAGTGGAGGAGGCCAGGGCCATTCCCTTCAGTTCCTAGTTCCATCACCTCCCAATAATGCCACCAAATTATCAATCCATTAATGGATAAATCCACTGGTGACTACAGCTATCATGGTTTAGATCTAGAATGTTCTCCAAAAGCCTCATGCCCTGAGTCAGGCCTTGTGGAAGGTGATTAGGTCACGTGGGTGCCATGCTCAGAACTGGACCCATCCACGAAGGGGCTCAGCAGCTTCAGTGCCATTAGGAGGTGGGGCCTGGCCAAAGGCAGTAACTAAGGGAGACCTGGGGGGTGTGTCTTTCTCCCTGGCTCCTTCCCATTTCTCTCTGCTTTTTGGCGACCATGACCTCAGCAACTTTCCTCTCTCAGGACCTTCTGTCATGCTGTTTCTGCCTCGGAGCCCATTGACCACGGACCGAAACTGCCAGCCAAAGTAAACCTCTCCTCCTTTAAATTGTAGGTGTCAGAGTTTTTGTTCCTGTGACCAGGACAGTGACTGGAATGAGCTCTCCTGATGCAACGACCTTCCAAAGCCCCACCTCTGAACTTGCTACGTTGGGGACTCTGGCCTTCAACACGTGAGCTTTGAGAAACATTTCATATCCAACCCACAACACGCTGGCCAACAAGGGGTTATTTCTGATAGCCACAAACCGGAAGCTAACCACTCATCAGTGGAAGAATAATTAGATGCTGTATCCACACAGCGGTGTTGTATGCAGCCATGAGAATGAGCTGTCTCATTCTCAGTCAGTATGGACGACCACAGACTTGATGTTAGCAAGACAAGCCAGACGCAGAAGAGAAAGATATTGCTGGATTCCACTGATAACAATTTCAAAGCCAAATGGGGATTTAACTCAGTGGTACTGCTGCCTGCCTCATAAGCACAAGGTCCCGAGTTCAATCCTCAGTACCAAAAAAAAAATTCAAAACCAAACAAATCAAACCTACAGTATGGAGTAGCACCAGGGATTATCTTGCAGAACTGGATATGTTCTGGGTTTGTTTTATTTCGGGGCGGATACTGGGGATCAAACTCAGGACCTTGCGCTTGTGAGGCAGGCGGCAGCACCACTGAGCTAAATCCCCAGCCAAGAGCCTGTTTTGTTTTGTTTTTTAAAATCTGGGTGCTGCTTATATGAGCATATGAACTTTGCATACCCAGAAACATACTCAGGCTATGGCTTACATCATTTTCTTGTAGTATACTGTTCAATAAAAAACTTACATTAGAAAATTAACCTTCAGGGAATAAAAGAGAGATTTCTTTGTGTTAATATTTGTAATAAAATTGCTATGGATTTTTTTCTACAATTTGTGCTCTTTAATACTCTTCAAATAGACCTCTGGAATACAAACAGAAATAGAAATCATGTATATAATTTCAAGGAGCAGTTTTATGCCTTACTTTACCATCTACCTAAAATAAATTCTCAAATTCTTGTGTATGACACCCATCAGAATTTACTCCTAAGTTTTGAAAAGCAAATTTAATGAGCATATTGATTTACTGGTGGTCTATTTTTTTTTTTAATTTTTGAAGCCCTCCTTGATTACAGATATTCTGTTCTCCCTGGGTGAAGACAGTGAGATTTAAAATGCTCTGAACACTGTGGGATGGAAATTTCCAGCGGGCAGGGATGAGTCACAGGCTGTGAAGTCTGGCCACCTCATCTGTGGGGGTGACAATAGCAGAAATTTGCAAAACAAGTATTTGCTTATTTCCTTAACTTGTCACGAATTTCACTCTGAGCCAAGGTAATTGGATTGCATTGAAATCAAGTAACCTTAGCGCTGAGCTGTAACCAAGGCAACGCAATCTCTACACTCAGTGCACACAGCCCAAGGAGGAGTGTGGAGGGGCTGTGGAGATACAAGGACTTTTTTCTGGTTTGTTTTTTGAGTCAGGGTCTCACTATATAGTTCAGGCTGGCCTCAAACTCAGCAATCCTCCTGCCTCAGCCTCCCAAGTGCTGGGATTACAAGCGTGTGCCACTACGCCTGGCCTTTTTTTAACATAAAATTTTAAAAAGAAATTTAATATTTCTTTAATTAAATACAGATTACCATGGTGTCCTCTCTTGGTACCTGGTCACAGGTTAACTGAGGCTCTTGTCTTTGTTAGTTTCTTCCTTGCTGGGACAAAATGCCTGACACTTGCAAGTTTAAAAAGCAGAGGTTTATTTTGGCTCACGTTTCAGTCCAGTCTGCTGGCTCCAAGGCAGGACAGCATGGAGGACAGGAAGCAGAGGGAGAAGGGGGGAGCTGGAGAGGGAGATGCATCCTTCCAGGTCACAGCCAGCCACCGCCTCTCCCGACCAACCCGCCTGCTAAGAGCACATTCAGCTGCAAACCCATCAGTGCACTGATCCACCCTCGAGTACAGCACCCATCTGATCTGATTGCCTCCCAAAGCCCCACCCTCGAAGGCAGGAGGCTTAGGGGAGCACCCAGGTCTAAAGCCAACAGCACTTGGAGGCTCCTGAGGCAGCACGGGGGTTGCACACTGCCCAGGTGTTGGCTCAGCGTCCCACAGGCTATGTGTGCCTGGCTAAGTGGATGTCTGTGTTGCATTATCGAGTTGTAACTAAATTAGCCTCCACCAGAAAGACAAAGGGCTTTATACCACATTGTTTCTCTGGCATGAGAAACCAAAAGTGGAAATAGGGACCAAAATGTATAATAGATATTGGAAAATGGGAAGGAAATGTTCAAATGGGAAAGGGGAACGAGGGAGGGGGAGGGGAAAGGAAAGAAGGGACAAAAGAAAAAAGAGAATAGAAGGGAAAAATGGAAACCATTTTTGTAAATAAGGAGGTGAAGAGGGGTTGAAGGGAGAGGAGGGAAATGGGAGAAAAAGAAGCAGCAAATTCCCTATGATGAATGTGATCATTATAGTTTAAATGTACCAATAAAAAATGACAAAGGGCTTTAAAAGCATTCTGTCCAACCACAGAGTGGGAGAAAATGTCTGTAAGTCATGTCTGATCAGGATCTATTATCCAAAATATATAAAGAACTATTACGTCTCACAATAAAAAGAAAATGATTAGAAAATCGGCAAGGAATGAAACTGACATTCCACCAAGATACCCAAAAGACCAATTTGCCCATGAACAATACTCGCCATCATTACTTATGAGGGAAATGCAAATCAAAGCCACAGTGAGATACCATTTCACAGCTGTCGGGACAGCTATCATCAGAAAGATAATAATGGACTTATGGGCCGAGGATTTAGCTCAGTGATTTCACTGCCTGCTGTGCAAGCGCAAGGACCAGAGTTCGATCCCCGGTTCCAAAAGAGAAAAAAAAAATGGACTTACTAAAAATGAAGAGGAATTGGGAACTGTTTACATTGCTGGTGAGAAGGTAACATGGTCCAGTTACTTTGGCAAACAGTCCAGCAGTTCCTCAAACAATTAGAGATAGAGTTACTATGTGATCCACTGATCCTACTCTTAGGTCATAGGGGTAGGGGAAATGAAAATGTGTCCACACAAAAACTTGTTCATGTGCCTAGGAGTATTATTCATAAGAACTAGAAAGCAAAAATAACCAAACACTTGCCAACCGATGAATGAATAAAGAAAATGTGGTATATGCATGCAAAGGACTATTACTCAGCCATTAAAAAGGATTGAAGTACCGATTAGTGATATGTCACGGATGGGCTGTGACAGTATGCTAAGCTGAAGAAGCCAGACACAAAAGACAGCATATTGTATGATTTCATTTATGTACAATGCCCAGAATAGGGAAATGGAGAGAGACAGAAAGTAGATTAGTATTTGACAGGGCCTGAGGGGAGGAGAAAATGGGATTGATTCTAATATGGGTGCTTTCCTGTTTTGCCAATACTGGGGATTGAACCTAGGCCTTTTGCCCTGAGTTACATCCCCAGCCCATTTTATTTTGTTAAATTTTGAGACAGGTTCTCATTAAATCACTGTTACCTTGGCTGGGCTCATACTGCGACTCTCTTGGCTCAGCCTCCCAGAGTGCAGGGGTTTCTTTTTGGGGGTGATAAAATTCTGAAATTAGATAGTAGTGATGGCTATACAACTTTGCGAATATATAAAAGTGAGGAATTGTATATTTTTAAAGGATTAATTTTATGGCATATAAGATATATTCCCATGAATAGAGATAATAACCAAGAAATTGGATTGAAAATTAATGCATGTAATACAAGCGCAAGTGAATCAATAGCAAGACAGAGTAGCAAGACAGACGTCTCTAACTCTGCTGTAAGTTCACAGTCAGCTACCTAACAAGGTAAAAAGATCTGACAAAAAGTTAGCATAGGATGAAATGATAAAAGAAATTCAGTTATTAACATCTTTTGTCACTGAAGCTCAAGCAAAGCATATATTATGCCTCGGATATTGTCATTTATAGGTTTAAAACAATGCAACCAGCAATGCAGCACTTTATAAAATTTCACTAAACTTGATCAGTGTTTAAGTATTGTGCAATTCCTTGTTTAATACAAGAGTTTGAAAGACCACAGTGAAACTGATTAAAACAGCAAATAGAACACAGTGTCGGCCCAGATCGAAATGTATTTTTTTCATTAGCAATCCATCGGAAGACACACAGAAAATGCAGCCAGAGATTGCCAGTTATTTATTTGCAGTTTGGGGACTTGCTATACAGTTTGGTGCAAGTGCAGATGTGTCTAGCATGTCTTGGTCACTTTCTGCGCAGCTAAGACAAAACACAGAACACCCACAAATGAAGGGAGGAGACGTTTACTTGGTCTCACATTTCAGAAGTTCACTCCAGGAGAAAATGGCATGGTAAGGGCCGGGGATTTAGCTCAGTGGTTCCACCCCATGCCTCACAAGCGCAAGATCCCAAGTTCGGTCTCCGGTACCAAAGAAAAGAAAAGAAAATGGCATGGTGGATGGGCCTGCTCAGGAGGAAAGCTGCCAAAAAGCAGCCGGCGAGGGGAGGAGTGGTGAGAGAGAAGCATCCTTCCAGGTCATGCCCCAGTGACCCACACCTAACCAGGTGCTACTGCCTAGCAGCACGATGGCTGTAATTCAATCCACTTCTAAGAGTCACACCTCTGAGGCCTGAGTCTCTTGGGACATTTTTCTTTTCTTTTTTTGAGACAGTCTCACCATGTAGTTCAGGCTGGCCTTCAACTCACTATGTAGCCCAGGCTGGCCTTAAACTCATAGTGATCTTCCTGCCTCAGCCTCCCGAGTGATGGGATTACAGGCATGCATTACACACCCAGCTTCTTGAGGGATATTCTTGATCTAAACCATAATATTCTGCCCCTGGCCCCCAAAAGGTTCATGTCCACCTCTTTATACATTTAGTCTACCTGCAAGAGTCACCAAAGTCTAACAGTTTGAGCATGGCTGAAAAGTCTAAATCCAAAGTCTTCTCTGAGACTCGAAGCAAACTCTTAGCTGTGAGTCTCTATAAAAATCAAAAAGAAAGTTAAATACTGCTGACATACAGTGACACAGGGTAAACTTTCCTATTCCACAAGGGAGAAACAAGGGGGATAGAACAGAATAGGACCAAAGCAAGATTAAAACCCAGCAGGGCAAACATGAAATCCCATAGGTCTGTGTCCAGCACCAGGGCAAAGATGTGAGCTCTGAACAGCTTGAGCAGGCCGCCTCTACAGTATGCCTGGTACAGCTCTCATGGCTTCTCTTTAGGGCTGACTTTGCTCACTGTTTAGGGCTTTTCTCAGTGGATGTTCCAAATTCCTGGATTCTCCAACTTCTGGGGTCTCTGCTGCATTGTTGGCTTCACACTCACAGCTTCTCACACTGACCTCTCGGGCACACTGCCTGGCCTCCCAGGCCTTCTTGTGAAATCTGGGTGGAAGCCTCCCTGACTCCACAACTCATGTGTTCTACATGCCTGTAAAACCAGCACATGGATGAGGCCAGCATCTGCCACCAGCTTGAGCAGTAGCCAAGCCCCAGTGGATCATGGCTGCAGAAGCCTCAGAGTACCTGGGTAGCTGAATTCTGGGAAACATTTCTCTCTTAGGTCCAGAAAGAACACAGCCCCTGGTGTTTTCTCCTCAAAACAAAGTCTTTTGCTTTTGCAGGGTGAAGGACAGGGTCTTGCTGTTTCCTGAGTTGCCATCAAGGCAGTCTTTCTGTTGTCCGGTTGCAAAGTAAGTGGCTTTTTTTTTGGTACTGGGGATCAAACTCGGGTCCTTGTGCTTTCGAGACAGGCAGCGGAACCACTGAGCTAAATCCCCAGCCCTCTCCGGTTCTTTTTAATGATAATCTTTCCAGCAACCAAATTGTCCTGGGCCAAAATTTTACAGACGCCAATTTTACAAGCACTTCCTTTCTGCCACCAGCAACGTATTTCAAGTTATTCAACTTGGCTTTTCACTCCTGCTTCTCACATATAACCTCCCTAAAAGCAGTGGACAGTATTCACGCTACAACCTGAACTTGGGGTAGCTTGAAATTCACTCAGATTAATTAGTCTGCTGCCCTTAATCTTATCCTCCTGCAAAGACTCAGGACATGAGCAAAATGTAGACAAAGTTTCTGCTGAATGTAACGCACGTGGTCTCTAGCCCAACCGCCAATAGAGTCTTTTTTGTTCCCAATTGAAACCTCCTGAGCCTTGTAGTTACAGTCCGCATTTCTATTAGCATTTTGGTCTGAGCTCTGACTAGTGTCACACGCTGAGCTAATCTTGCAGCATTCTAAAGCTTTTGTACCCTGCATCTCCACATCTTTCCAAACTCCTCCCAGGAACCAGTTCCAAAAGCTTCTGAATCACAGGGTCAGGTCTATTCACAGCAGTGAGCCCACTTCTCTTAAACCAAAATCTGTCTTAGTCACTTTCCGGTCACGAACACACAATACCTGACACCCACCATCGGAGGCCAGGTTTATCTTGGCTCTCGGTTACAGCCCAAGGTCAGCTGGATCCCAGGCAGCAGCGGCGGGGAAAGGGTCTGGTAGAGGAAGCAAAGAGCACAAACCGGGAGGGAGGAGCCGTGGACGGAGATGAACCCTTGCAGGCCACTCCCCAGCGCCCGCCCCCACTCAGGCTCCGCCTCCCGACCAGGCCCCGCCTCCTGGCCCCAGGGTCCAGTCCTTTTCCGAAAGCCCCACACATGAGGCTCTGGGGGAGCATCTAGCTATAAACCACAACATGACATGTTCCAGCTTGTATTTGCAAGATGCTGTTACAATAATAAAATTGATTAGGAACTTTTTGTGAGACACTAGAACCAAGGCCCTGTCGAATAAGTCAGCCCCAACTACAAACGACCGTTTTAAAAATACATATTTTAAGCCGGGCGTGGTAGCACACCCCAGTAATCCTGGCACTCGGGAGGCTGAGGCAGGAGGATCGCCGTGAGTTTGAGGCCAGCCTGTACTACAAAGTGAGACCCTGTCTCAGAAGAAAAAAATTTTTTTTGTAGGAAACCTGGGGCTAGGTGTAACCATTATTCGTGGCTGCTTTGATTACAATTTTTGAAAGATACAGCAATGGCACTGTCATCGGACAGGGTTCGGGAAGGTCCCTCAGGAAAGAGAGACCTCATCTCGCGGCACCCGAGGGACAGGTTGTGGGTTTGTGACTTCCGTCACAGAGAAAGAACTTCCAAGACAACTCGGCAAGGCATAAAGAGGTTTCGAGACAGATGTAAAAGCACACCCTCCGAGAATAAAGGACAGGCTTCAGGAAAAGAGGCACAGGGGATCTGGAGTTGGGCATATCCCTGCGGCCTTGGGATGTCTTCCAGGTGGGTGTCGGGGAGGTGTGACCCTACTGTCAGTTGGTCCCACACCTGAGCAGCTGTGCGCACCTGCAAACCATCCCCACGAGTTTCCGGTGGAGAGCTGCTGCTTCCTTGAGGGCGGAGTCTGTGGGAGGGAGAGAGATTTACAGGTGAAAAGCACGGCCCAATTCACCAGCTTGTGTTTCTGGAGCCCTGGGAGGTTCTTGGGTGGGGGGAGTGTTTTATTGTTTTTGTTGTTGTTTGTTTGAGGCAGAATCTTGCCATGCACGCCAAGCAAATACTTAAAATGTTCAGAATGTCAAATGCCTGGTTTGTGTCTTAGATGCAAGGATGGTACTATTAATGCCCAGTGATAAAGTACCAATGACGTCTGGTGTTCTAAAACCGGATGTTTGAAATTGTTTCTACGAACAGCCTTCGAGGAAAGGCCGTGAGAGAGTGAGGCCCGGGCTGCTGAGCCAGGGCTTTGATTCAGGCTGAAGGGGGTTCAGTGCCACTGCCCTGACCCTGCTGGCTTCTGGTAAACCAGAAAGGAGAATGCTAAGGCCAGACTCGGCCACAGGGCTTGTGTGGGACCATCCTCCTCTTGAAAAAGGAGCGCTGGAAAAAACGAATGGCGTCTAGGTATGAGGGCCTTGAAACTCACTAGTACCCTGAGGCTGTTCATCTTTCTCAACACTGCTACCAAGCTTTATTATTCACTCCAAAACCCTTTCCTGGCATGATTCAGAATTTACATAAGTGGGGCCAGGGATTTAGCTCAGTGGTTCCAATGTCTGCCTTGCAAGCACAAGGTCCTGAGTTCGATCCCTGGTACCAAAAAGAAAAAAAAAAGAATTTGCACAAGTGGGTTTTTAAAGTTAACAGGCCGTGTGTGTGTGTGTGTGTGTGTGTGTGTGTGTGTGTGTGTGTGTGTACTGATGATCAGACCTAGGGACCTAGGGCCTCACACATGTGTAGCACGTATCCTACACCAAACCATACCCCCAGCCATATTGGACCATGGAGAATCGTCTAGGGGAGCGTGCAGGGTGGTGGCTGAGTAACCACGTATAAAGGCAGAGGCCTAGCAGAGTCCGGAATCCAGGTTCAGGGTTCCCAGTTCAGGCCTCTCTCCAATAGCTCAACACCGGCACACAGGGGCCAGCACTGTTCACTGCACGACTCTGCACACAGACTAATATTGCAGGCAGCTAAGTTAGATGGAAATTAACATATAGTCAGGGAGGGACTGGGCTCTCAGGAAGTCATCATAAAAATCAGAACTGTGCCTGGAGGCGCGTCTGAAGCAGGCCAGGCCTCAAGATAAAGATGCAGTGGGCAGGCCAAATGCCTCCCTAAGGACTAAAAAGTAACACTTTCCAGGAAGGCCTGATGGGCATCAGTCACCCAGGCGGGTGAGCAGAGCATGCGCACCTTTCCTCCCCGTGTACCCGGCCTACGGGACTCGCTTCCCCATTGGGTCAGAATCAGCTAAGCAGCTATACTTGTGACCCTATGGTTGATGGCAGTGTGACCCACGTTGTGCCCACGCTGACTTTGCTGTATAAATCACCTGAGCAAGGGCCTCGGTGGCCACCCACTCGGGACCCCTCTTGGAAATCCAGTAGCTGTTCTTCCTCTATTTCCAATAAACTCTCCTAACTTCCTCCTTTACCTCACAACTTCATTCCTCAATACTGTGAGACCACGAAACTCATCGCATGTGATATCTGACAGATTGGGAGTTATATTCCTTCCCTATCACTATAATTTGCAGTTGCCCAATTTAGTGGCCCTGGTGCCGAGACTGAGCTAGGAAAGCCAGGTGTGCTGGAACCTTTTTCTCACAAAATGAAGACAGCTGGCCACAAAGGAATGGTTGGGGTGAGATCAAAGACCAGAGCTACCAGCCGAGCATGGTGGCCCATGCCTGTGATCCCAGCACTTGGGAGGCTGAGGCAGGAGGATAGCTGCAAGTTCGAGGCCAGCCTGGGCTCCATAGTGAGTTCAAGGTCAGCTTGAGCTACATGGTGAGACCCTGTCTCAAAAAACAAAAAACAAAACAAAAAGACCAGAGTTATCAACCAAATGAAAACATAAAAATAAAAAATAAACAGAAATGGACCAACTGGCAAATAACAAGAGGTTTGGAGGAAAGAATGCCACACCTTACAGAGGACTCCAGAGTCTGCCATCCTACACTTTAACTCTAAATTACACACAAATTTTACAACATTTGGATTCAATTGTTTTTTGTTTTTGGTACTGGGGATCGAACTCAGGACCTTGCGCTTTCGAGGCAGGCAGTGGCACCACTGAGCTAAATCCCTGGCCCTGGATTCAATTTTAATCCCTTTTTCCACCACTGTTTTTCCAGCTCAGAGGCAGAAACATGGAGGGAAGATGTGATGCCATTGTTCTAACAGGCACAGTCTGTGTGATGCCAGCCAGGAAAGTGTTACCTTGGCAACCAAATTGCTAACTCACTCTGAGAGCCCTGTCGGCCAACAATGCTCTGTGATCATAGAATGTTAGCCTGGGTGGGCTCAGACCTGGTGCTGCTGCCTCAGTAGGACAACACCAGAGAGGTTTCCACTTGGAGGTATGCAGCATCCGAACACCCTGAAAACCCATGGGTGTGAAGGGGACAAACTCCCCTATACAGCGTTTCCACCCATGACTGCAAGGAGAACAAAGGTCCGCCTGTCATGTTTCCCAGAAGACACAGAGACTCTAGCCGGGCTCTGCAGCAGCCCTTCACTGGTAGCTGTGCCCTTTGGGACGGGACACACAGTTCAGCAATCCCAGTTAATTTATCTGCAAAAGGGGTGAGGTAGAGCCCACTGAAAGGATGGCGTGAAGATTAGATATTGTGTGGAAAGCAAATAGCAAATAATGAAACACTGTTCCTTCTATCACTAGAGGATTTTTCTTGCTAAAAGTGATGTGTTACCTCAGGCAAAAATATCAAGCCTATACTTGAAAACAAAACACAAAGGCATTTAAACACTTAATCTTAATTATCAACTTGACACGATCAAGAGATTCCTGCGGGGGTGACTGGATTATGGAGTGCTGAATAGCTGGCTGTGCCCACTGCAGAGGTAGCTGCTGGGGGTGCCTGTGGAGTCTGTATCTTGCTGGTGCTCTCCCCTGGGCTCTGCTTCCCAGCTGCCATAAAAGGAGCAGCTTTCCACTTCACACCTTTCCACCACGATGTTCCTTCCTTGGTGGCAGCCGACCATGGACTGAGCCCTCTGAGCCAAGAGCCCGATAATCCACTTCCTTCTTTAAGTGATGTGTGTCAGGTATTTTCAACAGGAAAGCTCACTAATACAAACTACATAAGAATTTTAACCAGGCATGCCTTTAACCCGAGCAATCTGGGGAGGCTGAAGCAGGAGATCCCAACTTTAAGCCCAGCCTGGGGAACTCATTGATTTAGTGACTCTGTCTCAAAAAACAATGACAAAAAAAAAAAGAAGTGGAACTGCATATAGAGCAGTGATTCCTAAGGCTCTGGAGGGATGGGTGTAAAGAGAGGTTAGATTTGATTAGTGCATGTGTTGAAATACCACACTGAATCTTGTCAAAAGGCACAACCTACTTGTGTTAATAAAATATGTGATAAAATAAAAAGCGGACGTGTGGAGCTTGAAGGCCTGGGGTTCTGCCCAGTTACTCCCTGTAACCACAAGGCCAGGACAGTCCTGGGCCCCGAGCCCGCTGTGTCCACTGCATCACCCACATCTGACCCACGGCAAGCAGCCCTGCACTGCTGGCCAGGCTCAAGGTCTGGTGTTCAGTATTTGCACTGAATTGACCGTGTCCCGGGTAATTAGAGGGAAGGCTGCCACACAGAGCACCTTGAATCCTGGTGGCCAGTGACACCAGGATACACGCTAAGTTTGGCTCCACAACGGTAAACCAGCAACTGGGCCAGGTTTTGTTTCTCAGTCCACTTGGCTAAGAAAATCCAAGCTGGTTATGATCGCTTGATTTTCACCTGAAGGAGTAGGGGGAAGACTTTTAGGACTTTTATGCAAAAGCCCTGCAATAGGAAGTCAAGTGTTTTCTGAAATAAGCTCAGGTGTAATTGTTCTGAAGTTTGGAAAAAAAGATAATTTTTGTTTTTTAAAGACAAGGTCTTGCTATGTAGCCCAGGCTGGCTTTGAACTCAAGATGATCTTCCTGCCTCAGCCTCCCAAATTCTGAGATTATAGGTGTGGGCCACCATGCCTGGCTCAAATTTGTTTTTAAAACAAAAGAGAGAAAAATCCGAAAGATCAAAAAGAGGGGTGGGGGTTAACAGGGGGGAAAATTTTTTTTATTGGATGGAGCAATAAAACACAATTGATGCTGGTCACTTGTAGATAGAGGAAGGAGTGAGAGGGGAGGGTAACTTTTACTTTGCAATGTATACCTTTCTCTACTGCTTAGATTGTTAAACCTCTGCATGTACAACCCCTATCTTTAAAACATCAGTAGGTTATTTGGACAGTGAGGTTGAACTTGGGACCTTGTGCTTGCAAGGCAGGCAGCAGCACCACTGAGCTAAATCCCCAGCCCCTCTAAGAATGTTTTAAAAGGGTGATTATCAAATGTTCTTTCAAAATATTTATTTCAAGTAGAAATTATATAATGCACTACATATAGGAGGATGAGTACATGTAAGATAATTGAGTCAAACCTTGAAAAATATATTCATTTGATCAAAATATATGAAACTCAAAAATAATTTTACATCAGACACTTGTTTTGGTTTTTTTTGAGACAGGGTCTCTCTGTATAGCCCAGGCTGGCCTCCAACTCACAGGGGTCCTCCTGCCTCAGCCTCCTGAGTGCACATTATAATCATGTGCCACCACACCCAGTTATATCAGATACTTTCACTGGAAAGTGTTATTCTAGTCAAGTAAAAAGCCCAAAGCTGGGTGTGGGGGTTCACGCCTGTAATCCCACCACTCAGGAGGCTGAGGGAGAAGGAGCACTGTGAGTTTGAGGCCCGCCTGGGCTACATAGTGAGTTGAAGTCCAACCTGAACTGCATAGCAAGACTCTGTCTCAAAGAAAAAGCCCACGACAGTCACCAAGACTTAACCTTCTGGACATATATATTCATACACACATCCCCTTTATAATTATCACACAGATTTTTATCCCAAGTTATCTCCTAGAAATCCACATTTGCTGGTCTTATGAAAATGACTCATTGTTTTGATATTTTATTTTTTTTGTAAGTAAAAAAATATTTTCCCCAGAATGCTACAAAGCAACCAAATCAACCTTTGAACAATGGATTAAAGTTGGGATTTGATACCTAAATTATTTTCACAAAAGCAGAACTTGCTGGACAGTGAGTGTCTGAGTAAGTGAGCAGCCAGGTGGCTCACTAAACTAGGGGGAGAACTACATCATGCCTCAGCAGGTGACAGTGCTGGGTGCCCTTTCCTGATGACAACCAGAGTTGACGCAAACCTCTTTGTCCCCCACGCTTGCTCAGAAAATGTCACAGGAAAAGAAAAAGTAAAAGCCGTGTCCTGGCTACGGGCAGCGCTGAGACGGAGCTCAGGCAGCCTGGCCTCTGATGACCCCAGCGGACACCGGCTGTCACAGGGCGGAGGCCCGAGAGGGACCCTGGTCGTTCGGGTGCGGGGCGAGCGCTGGGCCCCCCAGAGGCGCCGTGAGGGAGGGCGCCCCCTCCTCCTGGTGGGCTGGGCAGCCAGGCCCCGCCCGGTCCCAGGGGCCGCCTGTCCCCTGGCGCCCAGGCTCCGGGGTCCGCGTCTCTTCCTCCTGCTCCTCCTCGTCGGACTCGGACTCGTTGTCGTTGTAGAAGTGAATGGTGGCCTGCACCGGGAAACTGGCCAGCACCTTCTCCCCGGAACCCCGCAGGTATTCTTGACGCTTTGAAATGGGTAAATAGAGTCTGATATTGGAGAAACAAACAGCCATTATTCGACTGGAAAAATGACTCCTGCGACAGTGTCCTCGCCCTAGAAGCAGCTAGCACCCCAGGCCTTCTGTACACCTGTCCTCCCTTCCCATGCGGTGGTGAAGGCTCCAGAATACAGAGCCAGCAGAGCGCCAGGCCAGCTCAGGAATGGGCGAGACTTGGATGAGCATGTCCATGCGGGGCCAGCGGGAAGGAGGGGGCATGAAGGGGCCCGGGCACTGGGAGCCCCGAGGCCTGCTCCCTGCACAGCAGAAGTCCTCTGGGAGAAGGCAGGGACCATCACAGTGAGGCCCCATTCCCAGCCCTGGCTCCAGAAGCTCTCCTCCAGAACTCTGGCCCAGAGAGCAGCTCAGTGTTGAGGATCACCACCGAGCATCCCTGGCTCCGCCAGCATAAGGAAGGGGACACGACTGGAGAGAGGGTCAGAGTCAAAGACAGGAAGGGGAGGACCCCTCCCTAAGTCCCAGTTTCTGTGGAATTTGGGACTCTAGTTATAAAGGAAAAGTAAGGAACATGTCCCTCATAGTGTGGTGGTGACCGCCCATAATCCCAGCACTCTGGGAGGCTGAGGCAGGAGGATTGCAAATCCAAGCCCAACCTGGGCAATTTAGTGATGACATAAAAATTAAAAGAAGGGCTGGGGATGCGGCTCTTTGAAAAGGCCCCAGTACTGTTCATACCCAGTACTGCAAAATAAATAAACGCCTCTAAGAATCTCTTTCCCTTGGGCATCCTCACTATGGATTGGAATATCTCTCTTTTTAGACAGGAGAGTGAGTGAGAAGATATCCTGCTATAAATAACGCACGACCATTTTTACTTCCTACGATTTCCAATAGACCAGCAGTGCTCAACTCCAGGGCATATTTGAAAATGTCTGGAGATGTTTTTGTTCTCGTAGCTGAGGGGAAGCGCCTGGCGTTTAACAGGCAGAGGCCAGGAATGCTGCTGACCATCCTACAATGCCCAGAGCGCTCCTCACGGCTGTCCAGCCCGAAGGGTTAGCGGTGCTGAGGCTGGCCAGCTGTGCAACAGACAGACGTGCGTGGTTCCCACATGGAAGACTGACAGACTAGCAGAGTTTAATTTCTGGCCATGTTAAAAATCAGGTGTCCGGCCGGGGATTTAGCTCAGTGGTTTTGCCACCTGCTGGGCAAGCGCAAGGACCCGAGTTGGATCCCCAGCACAAAAAAAAAATCAGGTGTTTACACTGAAGGACTTCCAGGTGGATTCAGAGAACATCTGGGATTTGCATGAATTTAGCTCAGTGGTGCCGCTGCCGCCTGCCCAGCAAGCACCAGGACCCGAGTTTGATCCCCGGTACCATTAAAAAAAATTATTTGGGGTGATCAGAAGAATACTGATAACTACTGAGGCCTGAGATGGGTACGTAGGGGTTCACTATAATATGCAGTGTATGTTTGAAATTTCCTGTAATAAAAATGGGAAATAAGATTCTCTCTGCTTCACGAGGCACAGTTGCACGATGCAGCTGGAGCCTGGCCCCTCACAGCACTCAGCTGATCAAAAAGGGGGAGCCCTGCACTGCGGGATGGGGGCACAGGCGGCTCAGAACCACCCAGGCAGCCTCCCCAGGACTGGAAACCAGAGGTAAGGGTCCCTTAGGAAGCTTCCCTCTTCCAAAAGCCACACTGGCCAGTGGGGGGGGGGGGGAGCTCAGTTTCATCTCTAGAGATGAAAGTTTGGATTTTATTGACATTTTGCAGCCTTCTGGGTAACCCGGATGTGAACACCCTGAGGCCTGCAGGCAGCAGAGGCTCCATTCATTTTGGTGGCGGAAATGAGAGATGGAGAGACAGGCCGAGAGAATGAGAGGCAGAGATAGCTATACAAATCCTGAACACAAGCCACTTGCCCCAAAGGAATGAAATGTAAGGAGGGAACAGGAAAGTCCTAGTCCTGGTTCCTGCCAGGACGAGAAACAACGGAAACAGAGGACCGGACATCCGGAGCGGCTAGGGAGGGGTTCTCACATGCCTGCGCAGTTTGCGCGGCCCTTGAGCCAGCATCCAGCCCCGGGCTTACTCGACGCACGTGTTCTGAGGGTCTGCACTGCACAAGACAGTATATCAGCTTATATCCTACAAGGGAAATGGAGATGTGCCCGATGTTTGAGTAACTAACTGCATATGCACACGCAGTCATAGATCATTAACACAAGGCATCATATGCGATGGGAGTATGAACAGAGGTATAAAGAAAAGAGAGGGGCCAATGCCGATGTGCAATTCAAACATGAATGAATACAGGGATGGGAGTCCAGAGATCCTGTAAAATATCCTCGAAGTTCCTTGGTAGAAACGCAATAATATCGCAGAACATAGTATTTTCCACTTTGTTGAAAATGTATATAGTTGAATACACTGAAGTGCATTAATGATTATATCATCAGAAAGAAAGTGTATATATAGATGTATATACGTATGTATAAGTATATATATGTGTAATATAAGTGTGTGTATGTGTGTATATATATATATATATAGGTTTTTTTGGTACTGGGGATCGAACTCGGGTTCTTGCGCATGCGCAGCAGGCTGCGAAACCACTGAGCTAAATCCCCGGCCCTATATATATATATATTTTTAAGTGTGAAGTCAGATATTACCTTACAGGATGCTGAAAGCCAAAGGCCCCCTTCGATCGCAAAGTTTGTGGGTCCCCCTCGGGCTCACACTGTAAAGACAGACACAAACACAGGTCTAGCAAAGGAATACCACAAGGTACCTCCTGGAAGTTTTTAAAGATAAAATCTGGGTAGTCTGCAGCTGTTACTCTCAGTACATTTAAGAGCAGTTTAGAATCCTTCTTGATGTCCTTCTTCCGGTTACAGTTCCCTGCACCTTGCCCACAGCAGCAAAGGCCCTGGGAGGGATTCAAAGACGGAAAGAGTAGGGACACAGGGCCTTGGCCTGGGAGATTCAAAAACTAGGGAAAGACGCAAGCCTCTGGAAACAGCCCTGCTGAGCGGGGAGGGCAGGGGAGGGCGGGTGTTTAATCCCAGTGCTCCTGGTGCAGTGCAGGGTCACATTCAGAGGGGTGCGAACAGGGCACGGGGACACAGGGTGCAGTGAATGAGGCACTGGTGGTCAAAGGGCTCCTGGGAGGCTGGGTCCCCTTCCAGACGCCCTCCATTCCCACTACTGAGTTGAGCTTTGATTCCGAGAGCTGGGTCCGGAGCCAGGGAGCTGGATGGTCAGATCTGTGCTTTATGGGCGGTGGTGGCCACTGGGATCTGTCCCGGACTGGACTCAATGAGGGCTCACAGGCACCCCTCTTGGTGACAGAGGATCAGGATGTGACCTGAGGCAATGCCCGGGAGGGGAGGGGAGCGGAGGGGAGGCCACTCTTGCCAGGCAGCTGAGAACAATGGTGATGAGGACAAGATGCAAGCAGAGAGAGCCAGGCCGGTCCGGTCCAGGGCTGTGGCCAGAGTGACCGCAGGCTGAGGGGATGTGGTCAGCGTTCACCTGCTCAGGGTCAATCCCCTTCTGCCAGACTCCCCAGGGGCTCTGGACTGGGTTTGGCCTGCAGGTTATCCAAGAGCTACAAGCCTCTGACTGCTGAGTTACTACCAGGTGTGGGGTGTCCTGGGATGCATCCGGGTGGGCGGACTTGAAAACAAGCTGAAGTGGCAGGTCAGAAACCCTGAGTTCTTGGATCCGAAGGTGTCAGTGGGAACCACTTTAGGAACGGCACCAAACCTGTGCAGCACTGCAAGAAAAGACTCTGAGAAGGCAAGCTGCGTGGTTCACACCCGTAAACCCCTGCACCTGGGAGGCTGAGGTTGGAGGGTCACGAGGTCTAAGCCAGTCTGGACTACATAAAGGAAGGAAGGAAGGAATGAGGGAGGGAGAAACAGAAAAGACCGAGGTGGTACATGTCTGTAGTCCCAGCACTCGAGAGGCTGAGGCAGGAGGATCACGAGTTTGAGGTGAGCCTGGGCTACATAGCGAGACCCTGTCTCAAGAAAGAAAGAAAAGGCCTTTGCCTTTTTTATAATAATCTGTGAAGGGGAAGTAAAGTGAGGCTTTTGTAACAAAATCTTTTTGCATTGCTCTTCATCTTGGGTGGTGGGCTACCGGAAGTTATTTCTGTGTTAAGAGCTCTGTTTGTAAGCTGGGCATGATGGTGCACGGTAATTCGAGGCCAGCCTGGGCTACACAGTGAGCCCCTGTCTCAAAAATCAAAAAACGACCCCCTCAAGGGCCAGGGATGTGGCTCAGTGAGGCTGCGCCTGCCTTGCAAGCTCAAGGTCCTGAGTTCAATTCCTGGTACCGGAAGGAAAAAAAGTCTAACAAAAAACGACCCCCTCAAAAAATAAAGCTCAAAGAGCTCTGTTTGTGATTGTAAACCATCTATAACTGCTCAGGCTCATTCTCCCGCCACAGGGACTCCTGAGAACGTCACAGCCTGTACGAGGGCAGAGTCTAACACGAGCGAGCAACCTGTGTGGACGGAAGCCGCGGGCAGCCCAGAGGAAGGACGAGCCCTAAAGACCCGCGCCCGACCTCTGAAACACAGAGCACCTGGTCAGCTTTAAAATCCACCCCTCTGACGCCCAGCTTTCAAACACTATGCTATAAACATCCTGAGTATCTCCCCGCGATCTTCTTAAAGACCCTTTCTCGCTGAAGGAGTCTACGTATCCACGTCTGGATAATTAAGTGGGCAGAGAAACGTGCGCAGGTTAAGCTCTGCGTTTAAGGTACGGGTGTTTTCTTAAGATCTGGAGAACAGAGTCAAGCGGATTCCAGCAGGAGGTGTGCGCCCCTGACTGGGCTACGGCGTGCACGAGGCATTGGGGCCTTTCCTCAAATTTAGATTTTATTCTAATTTTGATCTACTCGCTGGAAAACCTGGTGCAGGACCCCAGGCCTTACCCGCTCCGCCTCCCTAGCCTTTTCTGGAGAAAAACTGGACAGGGCCCTGGAGGCCGGACGTTCTCCCGCTTTGTCGGGAGAGGGCACCGTTGAGCAAGGCGCGCTGGGCCTGAGGTCGCCAGAGCTGGTCCAGGGCGGGCGCGGCGGGGCAGCGAGCTTTGCAGCCGCCCTCCGCCCCCCACAAAGTGGGCGCCACCGCCTCAGCCGGGGAGATGCGCTGACGGTCAACCCGGCAGTTGCTCAGCCTAACATTTCTCCGCTGGCGATCACTTTTCTCACCACTTTCTCACCGCGATAGAGGGAAAAAGCCCAAAGCCACCTGCTCGCATCAGGCAGCGTGCCATAGTATCTTCGTTCTCGCAAACAGCCCGCAGGTTCTGTGTACATTGCATTGAAAAGAAAATTGAATTGTAGGGAGGAGAGGGGAAGATGTGTTACGTACATGTCCCAACCCACCACGAGGAATGTGATCATTAAGTGATCCAAACAGGGACTAATAAAAATAAATTCTTAGCAGAAATTACGTTTGAATGCAAAAGAAGGAATTATTTTCCATTACTTAGCTATTGCTTGCGAGAATAATTTGGCTAAAACTTATATCACTTGTTAATTTGTTTCATCTTTCTTCACGGTAAAGAATGGCAACTGAATCAAAACTCTGAACATTCAGATTAATTGAATAAAAGTAGAAAAACCTCCAAATAGAATGGCCTGCTCCCCCCCTCCCCTGAGCTTTCTTGTCACATTACAAATAACTGCACACTAAGCCAGAAGCTGAGGGTAGGTAAACCAAATACTCCGTCCTTCCTAGCCAGATGAGCTCTCCAGGGTTTTAAAAAGCACCGATTTATATTTAAAATGTAACAGATGAAAGCAAGCCTTTCCCTGGTAAGTATAACATTATTTAGTTATCCATGCATGGTAACAAAAGAAGACCAGTGGCGATTAATCTTCTTCCACAAAGCCCTGGCCTGAGTGTGTTTGCTCAGACAGCAGTTACCCGGCAGCCTGCAGATGGCTGAAAGTGCCAGACGGCGGCGGGCGGCCGCTCCCTGCGCCCCAGGTCCCTTAGATGTCACCTGCCTTATTTGCACAGTGGCACCAGCCTGGTGCTGAGGGTGCCCTCAGCTTTCCTACTGCCTGCTGGTTTGCAGGAATCCCGTGCCGTGGCTTCGCCTTTGGAGAAAGCAGAGGCCACCAGGAGTCAGGTGTGTCTGTGACAGACTGATGAATACCCGAGGCTCCGGGTCAGAGGACATAGGACCAGGGAGGAGGCCTCCCAGGGACCCTCGTGGCCAGCGGTGGCGGCTCTCCAGCCGGGCTGGGGTCCCTCAGCCACACTTCAGCTTACCTGGCTTCCGGCTGCGGTCAGCGTCCAGGGTCGCCACGGTGTGGGCCCGGGGCTGGAAGGCAAAGGGCAGCAGATGATGAGTCCCTGGCACTTCTGCCGCGGTTAGGGTTATTCTAATCACCGGGCACCCGGGAAGTCCCGGCCTGCGGATGGACCCAAGTCTTGGTGTCTTTCTACCCTGCCGGGCGCCCAGTTCTCTGCCATCAGGTGGACTCTGAAGAGGGAAGACCCAAGTCAGACAGGCTGAGGTCCAGGGCTTCCTCTCCAGGCACCCCGGCTGGACTTCAATCCCCCCAGCCCGCTACTTTCTCGCTGGTTTGAGCTACACCACCTGGGGCCTCCAAAGCCCTTAGTTCTGCGGTCGGAACCTACAGAGTTCTAGGATGCCGAAGGGGGGACCCCGACCCCAGCCCCTGCCCACCTCCCCGGCTGATCTGATTTCCTCAGCGGAGCCCGAGCCCAAGCCCGAACTAAGCCCGTGACCCTGGGACCCAGTGAGCGGCTCCTCTGCGCGGTGCCGCGGTGCCTCCTGCGCCCCTCCCTCTGCAGATCGGCGCGAGGGGACCCCGGGACTCCGTGCCCCTCTGCACGCGCCTCACCTCGGGGCCCTGCACGCGTCGCCGCCGCCGCCGGGGCAGGGGCAGAGGCCGCGCCGCGCTGCCTCGGGGCCCATGGTGCCCGCCTGCCGGGCCCTCGCCCCGCGCCAGGTTTAAAAACGGGGGCGGGGCCGGTGGGGCGGGGCCCTCCACCCCGCCCCCCGTCCTGCAGCCCTCGGGGTGCCGATCGGGCGCGCATCTGGACCTCAAGTTGGGGGGAGTCTCACCTACACCACGGAGGGCTGCGGCTGTGGGGTTTGGAGGCGGAGACAGGGTCCGCCCGACCCGCGTGAGCCGGCCCCGTCCTCAGCCCGCACCGCGGTGTTCGCACTCGAACCCGCGGCCCAGTGGGTGGCGTGGGGCGCGCGACGCTGCCGGGCACCCGAGGAGAGGACCTGGCGGGATGGGGACGCGCTGGACAGCAGCCCCACCACGGGGGCTTGGAAATAACGCAGCTGTTCGTGGGGTCTTGCCATGCGCTTCTCAGGGCGCCAAGCACACTGCTACGTCTGAGAACTGGGAATTACTTTGTATACTTTAAATTAGTGGGTTTAAAAAAAAAATTAGAGACAGGGTATCGCTACATAGTTCCGGGCTAGACTGAACTCACTATGTAGCCCAGTCGGCCCAGAACTCATGAAGATCCTCCTGCCTCAGCCTCCTGAGTGCTGGGACTATGGGTGTGCACCGACACGCCCAGCTGAATTAATGGATTTTTTTAAATAGAAGAATTTGAGGGATTAAAACATTTTCACATTTTAAAACGATTTTGACATAATTGATCCTAACTAAAGATAAGCAGGAAAGAGGAGGGATTTAATAGCAACTTTATAAAAATGATTAAAAGACATTGGGTACAATGAGGAAGGGGCAGAAGAACATTAGGCCACATTGCAACCTTGACGTACTGCACTGAATCTGCCAGTGTAGAAGGGATTTTTTTTTTCTTTTTTCAAAGAACTGGGCAGCTGGGTGTGGGTGCTTTAACATGAGTGCCTTCCAAGGTAGCTAGTGGCCATAGGACCAAGGTAGCTTTCTGAGAAACTGAAAACATGTGTCATGTCCCTTAAGAATGCAAATCCCAGGGCTTGGGATTTAGCTCAGTGGTTCTGCCACCTACCCCAAAAGCACGCAGGTCAGAGTTCAGAGTTCCATCCCCAGAGTTCGATCCGCGTTAACACCACCACCACCAAAAAAAAAAAAGAATGCAAATCCCAGCCACCTGGGAAGGTGAGGCGGGAGGATGCAATTCTAAAACCAATCTGGTTGATTTAGTGAGACTCTGTCTCAAAATAAAATGTAAAAAGGGCTGGGATAACCAGGGAGGTGGCACATGACTGTAATCCCAGGCTTAGCTGGACATGTAGTGATTTAGTGAGAAAGTGTCTCAAAAAAATGTAGAAAGGCCTGAGGGTTTAGCAAGGTGATAAACCAATTGCTTTCCAGGTCCAGTGTGAAGCCTGGGGTTCTATCCCAGCACACACACCGGTACCTTCCCAGGTAGATCTTGGGGGCAGAGCTGCCTGCCTAGTGCACAAACAAAAATAAGTAAACACAGTGGAAAAAACAGGGTGTCAGAGACCTGGGAGCCTGCAGGGTTGCCCAGTGTGACTCCTTCCTAAACTCGGAGCCTGGGAAGGAAACCCAGGGGGAGGAGAGACAGCTGAGATCCCTGGGCCCTGGCTTCTAAACTAGAGAAAACCCGCAGAGCAGGAGTCCCAGGCTGGATCGTGAGCCAGGAAATACAGAAAAGGAAGACTCTACAAATTCGTTTTCCTATGCTGAGTGTCAGTGGCTGCTTAGAAACAAAGCATCAAGAAGTTTACCCTGAGGGTTTCCTGCCAGCCAGGAGAAGGATGCCGAAAGTCAAAACATCTCAGAGGGCAGAATATTTTTACATAAACAGTGTGGTAGACAAGCGGGGAAATGATGATAATTTCCTTTCCTCCTGTGTAGCCAGGCTGTGTTTCCTGTTATCTGCTCCCCCAAGTGTTGTGCAACTCTGGAAGCTGTTTTAGAAGCTCTGAGATGTTATTGCTCTTCACATTGTTATCTTCAACCTTATTATTACTATTATTGGTGGTGCTGGGGATTGCACCCAGGCCTCCTGCATGGTAGGCAAGGGGTCTACCACTGGGCTGCATTCCTGGCCCCTAAGAACTTTTTTAAGATTAAAGAACAAAAGTGTATTTGTTCCATCAGAATGAGATGTATTTGTTTTAGTTTTGAATTTTTTGTTTGAACTAGGCATGGTGGTACCTGCCTATAATCCCAGCCCTTGGGAGGCTGAGACAGGAGGATCACCCTAGAATTCAAGGCCAACCTGGGGTACATAGTGAGTTCCAGACCAGCCTAAACTACATAGGGAGACCTTGTCTCAAAAATAAATAGATACATATTTTTATGTATGTATTTTTATTTTTAAGAAATAAGAATTGTAATAAAATACATATAACTAATATCCAAGATCCTAACCCTTTTAAGCACACAGCTCAGTGGGACTAAGTACATTAGCATCATTATGTTACCATGGCTACCATCCATCGCCCGCCTCCTAACCTTTCATCTTGCAAAATTGAAATTTAGGCTGAGTGTGGTGGTGCATACCTGTAATCCCAGGGCTGGGGAGCCTGAGGCAGGAGGATCACCTGGAGCTCAAGCCTAGGCTCCCTGGCAAGACCCTGTCACAAAAAACCAAAAAGAAAAAGGAGAAAAGCACAGCAGATTTGTATATCCTATGCGACAGCAGGGCGCTCAGAAATGAAGGCCCAAAGACCCAGGGGAACGTCCTCTTTTTACACCTCGATCCAGATAGCTTGGACAGTGGTGTGCGCTCAGATTCTCCCAGCCCTGTGCGGTGTCCCTTCCTCCAGACCCGGGGCAGGGCCCGAGGGAAGCAGGCAGACCAGGCCGGCTCCCCAGGGAGAAGGTGAGATGGACTCGCTTCCCACCCAAGGGTGCGCCTGGGTACGGTCCAGCAGGCCGAAGCGCACACCTGGGCTCCTAATGTCTGAGTCCCAACACTGAGAACAGCACTCATGCGGGCGGTCACCTGCTTTCAGTTCTTTTGGGGTCATACTCAGAATTGCTAGATAAAATGCACTTGTTTCTGAATTTTTATTGTAAGGCCTGAGTTAGCTTTTGAAAAGAAAAAAAAAATTTTGGATGCAGGGTCTCCTCCCTAAGTAGCTCAGGCAGGCCTCAGACTCACGGCAATCCTCCCGCCTCAGCCTCCTGAGTGCTGATGTGTGCGCCACCACTCCTGGGTGAAAAAATATTTTAACATAAAATGTGTATTCGGGGTGTTCTCTCTGGGACGGCACCCAACCCCCGCTTAACTGTGTGATAACCAAGGCCTGGAAGTTGGAGCCACCACAGCCAGGGCTGCCAGGGCCTCCTGATGAACCCTCTGCCATCTGCCTCTCAGATTTCCTGTTGCCCGGGCCCAGGCCCGGGCAGGAGCACAAGGCACAGCTGCCTGTCTCATCGTTTGGCGCCTGAGAGCCTCCCCTCCCCGATGTCTGCCTCTCTGTCCCCTCCCTTCCATCAGGCTTTACGCAGATGTCCCTGGGGATCAGGACACCAGTTTCCGCACACACGCACACACACACGCACACACGCATGCACATGCACGCCCGCACCCTCCCTTTCTCTCCTGTTTTTTTCTCCATCACACTTAACACACAATATTTTACATCGATACCTGTCATATTGAACACATTGTTGTTTTTAGTTTAATATTTAGTTAGTTATTTATTCATGGGACTGGGGTTGCGGCTAGGACCTTGCACACGCTGGGCGAGTGCTCCACCACTGATCTATGTTCCAGTCCTTATTTCATCTTGAGACAGCTTCTCACTAAGTTGCCCAAGCTGGCCTTGAACTCTACATCCCCCTGCTTCACTCTCCCAGGTACCTGGCACTACAAGTATGTGCCACTATACCTGACTAATGCACTATTTCGTGCTTCCTTTTTGTGTTAATTTTTATTAGTTCATGTTTGCCGTGCCTAGTGACCACATTCCTCTTGGGGAATTGGGACATGCACATAACACGTCTAATTCTTTTTTATTCTCTTCCTCTCTTCTACCTCCCCTCTTTTTTATTGTTTTGTGTTTGAGAGAGGGTCTTACTATGTAGGCCAGGCTGACCTTGAACTCATGGTGATACTCCTGCCTCAGCCTTCTGAGTACAGGCCTAGCTCTCCTCTTTTTACTGTCTGCTTCTCCCAGTAGGACTTCAGCTCCACAAGGACAGGGCCTTCAACTGCTTCCTTCCTAGCTGTACCCCGAAGCTGGCACTCTTGCCCCAGGGTGTTGATCAGTGTGTGGGGAACACCACAGGCAGCTTCAGAAGAAAACGAAGAAGTACTTCAGAGTGGCCCATGTCAGTAGTGTACGTTCAGCTACACTGGAGGTGAGAGGATACACAGGCAGTGAATGTCCCCGCAGGTGCC